GTCTCCATTGCGGTCATTAAATCAAGGACTATCTATAATTGCATCGGAAAGGAGGAGATCAGTTACTAGGGCTCGGGCAGGGAAGCAGATGCAGTATACGATTCCCTTAACCACCGCTTCGCTTAGCGACGGAAATGCCGATCTCCATTTTGGTCGTAAGTCGAGGACCAGCTGCATTTTCTCAGTCTTGCCTTAGCAGTCCAGGAAATGGGGCCACGGGTATTCTCTCCCACACCTCCCAGGGTGGATGCAGGAAACAGGAGTTTCCTGTCCCAGCCGTGGGCCAACATTTGGTCCTCGACTTACAACAGTTCATTTACTGACCATTCGGAGTTGCAACGGCACTGAAAGAAAAAGTGGCTTAGGGACGGTTTTTCACAGTTACAACCTTTCCCACATCTCCATGTTCACGGGATCAAAAGTCAGATGCTCGGACCCTGGTTCACACTTACGACGGTGGCTGAATTTCTGTTCTGTAATCTACTTGCTTGTAGTCCTTGACTTACAACAGTTCACTCAGTGACTGTTTGAAGTCAGCGACTGTTTGAAGTTAACAACGGCACTGCTAAACTTGACCCGCGACGGTGTTTCACACTTCCGACCGTAGTGGCCTCCCCATGTCACATGACCATAATTCGGCCCCATTACAACCGTCTCACATTTAACGACGGTTGCAAACGTCCCCCGGGTCATCACACGGTCCTCTTTTTTCCCCGCGACCTTCCGACGAGCCAAATCAACATGGATGGGGAAGCCAGATTCACTTAACGACTGGCTTACTCACTTATCCACCGGCAGCCAGAAAAGGTCGTAAAACGAGACACAACTCAACCCATTCTCACTGAACGTGCATTTTGGGCTCCGGGGTGGCCGTAACTCAAGGACTACACCACAGAGGGGGTTAAAAAGAGAGCAGAAAGCCAAAAAACTGCAGAGAAACTGATTTTTTTCACACAAACAGCAGAACACAGGTTAGGTTTATTGATTAATTTATTTTTAAAGTTGCAATCTATAATGTTATTATCATGATGATGATGATGATGACAGTCCCTGACTAGATGGCTCAGTGGCTAAGACTCTGAGCTCGTCGATCAGAAAGGTCGTTAGTTCGGCAGTTCGAATCCCTAGTACAGGTACTCCTGCGTGAGCAGTGGGGTCAGACTGGATGACCTCCGAGGTCCCTTCTCACTGTTGCTTTTTATTTATCCGAGAAGGATGATTGCTCTCCCTCTTCTTCCCTCCTACCCAAATCACTTCCTCTCCCCCAGGAAAACAGAGTGTTCTTGCAAAAAGTGAAGGGGCTTTGAATTTAGCAGGGGGTCAGACTGGATGACCTCCAGGATACCTTCCCACTGTTGCTGTTTATTTATCCTAGAAGGAAGATCGCCCTCCCCCTTCTTCCCTCCCCCCCAAATCACTTCCCTTCCCCCCTCCCCCAGGAAAACAGTTCTTGCAAAAAATGAAGGGGATTTGAATTTAGCAGGGGGTCAGACTGGATGACCTCCAAGGTCCCTTCCCACTGTTTCTGTTTATTTATTCTAGAAGGAAGATCGCCCTCCCCCTTCTTCCACCCCCCCCCAAATCACTTCCCTTCCCCCCCCAAAGGAAAACAGAGAGTTCTTGCAAAAAATGAAGGGGATTTGAATTTAGCAGGGGGTCAGACTGGATGACCTCCAAGGTCCCTTCCCTCTCTGTTGCTGTTTATTTATTTTAGGATGATTGCCCTGCCCCTTCCTCCCTCCCTCCCAAATCACTTCCCCTCCCCCCTCCCCCAGGAAAACAGTTCTTGCAAAAAATGAAGGGGGTTTGAATTTAGCAGGGGGTCAGACTGGATGACCTCCAAGGTCCCTTCCCACTCTGTTGCTGTTTATTTATTTTAGGATGATTGCCCTGCCCCTTCCTCCCTCCCCCCCAAATCGCTTTCCCTCCCCCCTCCCCCAGGAAAACAGTTCTTGCAAAAAATGAAGGGGGGTTGAATTTAGCAGGGGGTCAGACTGGATGACCTCCAAGGTCCCTTCCCACTCTGTTGCTGTTTATTTATTTTAGGATGATTGCCCTGCCCCTTCCTCCCTCCCCCCCAAATCGCTTTCCCTCCCCCCTCCCCCAGGAAAACAGTTCTTGCAAAAAATGAAGGGGGGTTGAATTTAGCAGGGGGTCAGACTGGATGACCTCCAAGGTCCCTTCCCACTCTGTTGCTGTTTATTTATTTTAGGATGATTGCCCTGCCCCTTCCTCCCTCCCCCCCAAATCGCTTTCCCTCCCCCCTCCCCCAGGAA